ATCTCCAGGCTTGCAACTGTCCGCCAAATCATCGTCCGCCACAATGTCCACCGTACGTGGAAGTTGTCCTGGCGGCGCATCTTCTGGCAATTCCTAAACAAAAAAAATGCCCACAATATCAACAATCCTTGCCCATAAAGAACCTAATCGTCGTCTAAGATGAGGTGATGGGGGACAAGACACACGCGGAGGATAACTCAAAGCGCCTAAAGCTTTGCTAAATGTTTTTTGCTCGGATTGCCATTGACCTTGAAAACCTTTCAGGAGACGAAACACTAAATCGGGATCGTTAGTAAGCTGACCATCAGGCAATGCAGCATTGGTCAAAGCAAATGGGAAGTTGAATAATTAGTGAACAGCGATGATCCAAACATTTTAACTATTATTAATTGGTTGCTTCGTTTTTTTTTCACCATCGTTTACCCGAGTTTTTGATATTAATTTTCAGCCCTCCACTGAAATCAAAAAATGATCCTTTTTGTAGCTTTTGATAAGCCGATTGTAGCATCCAGGTTGACCTTGAGAGCCTAAGCAGCGAAGGCAGGATAGGGTACAGAAAGAGAGAACAATATGAGAAAAGAAGGCAAGAGTGAGATAAGACGTTTCGGTCCATTAAGTCATATACGTCTGATAAGTTTCATCAAGTTAGCAACAGCAACCACATGAGTAACACGACTAAATTCTAATATATCTACTCCTAGAAGCGATGTCTCAGTAAAAGATTATTAAAGAATCGACAGTTGGTAAGCTTCCCACATTGTTATTCTCAAGAGTAACAGTGTGAAAAAGGTTGAACCTGCATTGAAAATGTCTGATGATCGCGATATGTGCACAAGCCGTATTCCGTTTCCAATGGATTTTTATTTTCATCCTAAAAATGGAAAAATTAAAAAATTATTAACTATTTAGGTGGTACCTGATAATAATAACGGTAAAATTATCAATCATAAATTAAGGCGTTATCAGTTAAAAGTCAAAAACCCTCTCCGTATTCTGACTCTTTGTGAGATGTGAGATAAATAGTACAAATACTTCAACTATGGCGGCGTTAATAGTGATACTGAACAAAATTTTGAGTGATAATCACAACTATTGAAAGGTATATTAACAAGAAAGGTATGTTTCCACAGGATCATGAAATAATAATCAAAAAGGTAGGAAATATGAATTAGAAAATTTGTAAAATTATTAAGATTATTATAATATTATTACGATTATTGTAATAATTATTATAATGGTAAGAAATGTTCCGGCCCATTAAGTTATCATGTCACTGACTGACTTTCACTGAGTCGCTCAATTATCAGTTAACACCTAGTCATGCTATCACCTAACACGTCTTAGGCTGTAAAAGCAGAAATTGAACAAACTTCGGTTGGGTAAACGTTGCTTGAGGGGAAAGCTTCGTAGGACGTCAGATCAGTGTAGCGTCGCTCGAATGTCTTCTTGGTCGCCGGACAGTAATGTACACTGCGAATCACTTTTGGCCGCAATGCAGAGCCTAAATAAGCTGGTTTTTCTCCTTTTTTTTGGCAAAAATACTAAGTTCTCTCAAAGAAAGA